TCCCATTATTGACCCCATCAATGGGGCATTATTTTTTCCATTGATAACAATTTGGCACTATTCCTCCCATTAAAACCAATGATGGGGCACTGAGAGGCATTTTTTACTCCCATTGGCCACAGTCCGGCCTGAAGTACAGGAAACTGGCCCTATACTTAGAACTTGTGGAGACCCCTGGCCTAGACGAATGATGTGCACTGTCCTCCTTTTGCCTCCTGGGATATGCACATCACATATTCCAGGGGGCAAAGCCTTCCATTCAGTAAAGATGGAGTGGGCGGGTCTAGCAGGGCGTCATCGAGAGAACCCAGAACAGCCAGCAGCCTCTTGATGACGTCACAGCAAAACATGACAGCGCAGTTCTGAGTGCTGCCAGTAAAGAGGATCTCGGCTGGACAGCACTGGATCTGCTGGGTGGGTATCTGAAACACAGTAGGCTAAACTCAACACCAGATGAGCAGAGGTTGTTAAAAAAAAAAAAAATACAAAGCATGGAGAGTGATCTACCCTAAACACCTGCATAGAGACAGAGGTATTCTCCTTACATGTGATTTATTGCATTATCATTTTTTTTTTTTTTGTTAATAAAGTCACTAATCCTCATTTGTCACAATGCTATACCAGGAGGGCTCGATAGCATTTTCTCTCTCCTTTTTTTCTGTATTCTCTTAGTTTTCTTGTGCTATGAACATCAAAATAGATCCAAGATGCAATTATACATTGCATTTTATTCTAATTTCCTTGGTTTGGATGCATTTTGCGTGCATCTGTTTTTTAGACAAGGGAAATTCCTATGCAGTTGTACATGTAAATCCACCTCTAAAATGCTGGTACAGTTTTTCAAATGCAATAACAGTAGATGTATTTTTTGGAATTGAACATAATGTACATAAATTATACAGATGCAATCAAAACATTACCGAAAACTCTTCATATGCTTTAGAGCAGGGGTGTCAAACTGGCGGCCCTCCAGCTGTTGCGAAGCTACAAGTCCCATCACGCCTCTATCTTTGGGAGTCATGTTTGTAACTGTCAATCTTGCAATGCCTCATGGGACTTGTAGTTTGGCAACAGATGGAGGGTCACCAGTTTGACATCCGTGCTTTAGAGGCAGTTTAAAAATACAAGAAAGTATTCTTAGGGTGAAAAAGTAAAGTCATTAACGAGGCTCTTAGCCCTTTCGGTACTCTTCCCTCCACTCCAACCCCTCTTCCCTTCCTATCCATAAATAGTGCCTTTTACTTTTTTTTTGCCTTTTACTTTTTGTGTTCGGGCCTCCCTCCTTTGCATGTCATTCGCCTAGGTCAGTGGTCGGCAAGCCGCGGCTCGCGAGCCACACGCGGCTCTTTACACACTTTAATGCAGCTCTTCTGTGTGCCGGGCGCCCGCCCGCTCCCCTCCCTCCTCTCGGGCGGCCGCCCAAAAGTCAGGACTCTGCAGCTAGCCCAGCAATGGGCAAACTACGGCTCGCGGGCCGTATACGGCCCGGCGGACCTTTTAATCCGGCCTGCGGAGCGTGGCAAACATTGGCTGTCAGGATGTAGGCGGGGCAGCGTGACGAACTACTCTCCTCTCACAGTCCGCCCTGAAGACCGGAACGGCGCGGGAACACGGCGAGAGGAACGCGCGGAGCAAAGGTAAGTGAATTGACACAATATGGGGGGATGAATTACTATATGGGGGATGAATTACTATATGGGGGATGAATTACTATATGGGGGATGAATTATTATATGGGGGATTAATTACTATGGGGGATGAATTACTATATGGGGGATGAATTACTATGGGGGATGAATTATGGGGGATGAATTACTATATGGGGGATGAATTACTATATGGGGGATTAATTACTATATGGGGGATTAATTACTATATGGGGGATGAATTACTATATGGGGGATGAATTACTATATGGGGGATGAATTACTATATGGGGGATGAATTACTATGGGGGATGAATTACTATATGGGGGATGAATTACTATGGGGGATGAATTACTATATGGGGGATATATTTTCAGTTTTAAAAATGTGGCTCTCAAAATAAATTTCAATCGTGGTTTTGGCGAGATTTGTCTCAGTTGAAAAAAAAAGGTTGCCCACCACTGGCCTAGGTGAGTGATGTGCTCTGTGCACCCTTTGCTTCCTGGGAAATGCATGTTACATATTCAAGGAGGCATTGTCGTTCCATACAGAAAAGGAGGAGGAAGCGGGCTATACGGCTCATCAGTTGGCCAGCCAACTGTACCCGGAAAATCCGGTGCCTGCTAATGATGTCACACCTGAACATGGCGGCGCGGGATCAATCAGAGACAAAACCAAAGAGCAGGACAACGCTGGATCCGTGGGGTGAGTATTTGATTTTGTGCAGAAGATAACCCCCTAGTAAGCAGGGGTTAAAATAAATTGGGCAAGGAGGGGTGGAGGCTGAGGATCTGATTTAAAGAGACACTAGAAGTATAAATGAGGAGCTGGATTTAAAGTATATCTCCAGCTTTTAGTGAAATTTATATAGTTTGTTTGAACCAAGCTGGTCCAAATGAAGGATTACCTTCACTTACAGATGCGGCCGTGAGCGTTTTATAAACTGTCATCAGCTATATACATTATACCGCGATGTGTTATGGCAGTGGGACAAGAAGTTCCCATCCAGCTCCCGGAACAAAATCAAGTCTGCTCAGCCCTTAACAGGAAGCTTTGGATTCTATGAATGAATACAAAGTTTCCTCTGATTGGCTGAGGCGAAGAGGCGGGCGGATGACATCACGATCGCCACCTCAACCAGTTAGCAGAAGCTTTGTATTCATTCATTCGAATGCCCCGTCCCGCTGCAGGAACACAGCTCTGTATACTATCTTTTAGATTGTGAGCTCCAAGGATCAGGGCCCTCCTAACCCTCTTGTATTGAACTGTATTGTTGCTGTATTGTCTCCCTTTATATTGTAAAGCGCTGAGCAAACTATTGGCGGTATATAAACCCTGTATAATAATAATAATACTGTATGTGGCTGAGTTCATACAGCGCACACAGTTACGCTAGCCCTTTTATGTAGACTTTGTACATGTGGTTCCTCGTTAACCATTAGCTGTCCGGCCAATGGCTGTTTAGTGGCTTCAAAAGTGCTTCGGCATTCCGGGTGCACGCCATTTGGCGTGCTCCCGCACATGCGCAGTTTGCGCTAATGCAGAGCCGCGCAGCGGCGTGATCTGTCACCGGCCGTGTACCTCGGACACGGCCGATGACAGATCTGAGTACCGGCTCCCGTTGCTGGTACCATGTGATCTGCTGTGACCAATCACAGCAGGTCACATGACAGTTGTATATACAATGGATGGCTTCATTCATGCCATCCATTGTATACTAGTGCCTAGCTGTGAATGGTCACAGATAATCACATGCACATGTCATGTGATTAGCTGTGACCAAATCACAGCTAAGCACAAAAAAAAAAAAAAAACCTGTATGAATCGATTTCATTCAGGTAAATGCTTGCTTATAGCAAAGTAATTCTTTGCTATAAGCAAATTGTGTAAAAAAAAAAAAAAAAAAAATACTGATCACTTCCCCAAAGTAGTACAATGTTACTATGATAACATTGTACTACTTTGGTCATAGTAAAATATGAAAAAAAATCTTAAAAAAAAATAAAAAAAATGTAATAAAAAATTAAAAATAATAATAAAAAAAAAAATATATATATATATATATATATATATATATTTTTTTTTTTTTTTTTTTTTTTTTTTTTTTTTTTTTTTTCATACTGTCACCAGTCAGTGTCCCTGTTCACCGCCATGCCAGTTATATGATGACACTGTACTGCACTGGTGACAGTATGTAAAAAAAAAATTGTGAAAATAATTTTTTTAATTTTTTCATTTTCCGAAAAAATTATGACAAAAAAATACAACTTCAAAAAACTCGCCATGCCTCTTATGAAGTACGTCGGACTGTCTACTCTGCAAAAAGGGTTCATTTGGGGGATATCTGTACTATTCTGACATTCTTGGACCTCAAGAAATTAGATTGGCTGTCAGTACTTCAGGATTGATCAATATTCAGATCTATACCATAGTTTGTGAACTCTATAACATTCCTACAGATAAATAATACATCCTAATTTGGGTTATTTTCACCAAAGACATGTAGCAGAATACATCTCGGCCTAAATTTATGAAGAACAATTATTTATTTGTAAACTTTATAACAGAAACAAAGAAAAACGTGTTTTTTTAAAAAAATGTTTGGTCTTTTTTTGTTAATTTAGCAAAAAATAAAAACCCCAGCGGTGATTAAATACCACCAAAAGAAAGCTCTAGTTGTGTGAAGAAAATGATCAAATTTTAGTTTGGGTACAATGTTGTATGACCGCGCAATTGTCATTCAAAGTGTGAGAGCGCTGAAACCTGAAAACTGGCCTGGGCAGGAAGGTGTAAAATTGCCCGGTATTGAAATGGTTAAAAAGGCACTGTCACTCTGCCAATTCAAGGCACATAACCCCATTCCCACCTCCCTTCCAAGCATGCACACACGCAGCAGTGCTCCCTTGCCACCCCCCTGCACTGTGAAGCCCTCAATAATGATATATTGGAACATATAACCTTTGATTGAGCTGCATAGACAAGGCAAAAGCCTTATTCCCTCTCACACCAATGCACTGCAGTTGCGTTCGATGATAAAAGTACAGCTAGCAGCACTACTTCCAATGCACCATGGTGCAATACAATCCACTGAATCATACTGCACTGTGGCCAAAAGAACTGAATGTGTAAAACAGGTTACTGTGAAATGTTCTGTTTACAACATCGGTACTAATGCCTTCAAATCACAAAGCAGTGACCATGTAGGAGTGCATGTTGCTGGTGTGAACAAGCCCTAAAAGGAAGGCTGGAGTTCAGTTTTAAGCCATAGGCATCCACACATGCTCTGTATAGACACAAGTAGAGCTGGTAAGTTGTCTGTTAAATTTGTATCTATGTACTCTTCTCTCTTGCAGCTCCCTATATTGCACAGCGATGCAGAAGATGTTGTGGACAGTGCGCTGCCGAAAAGAATTATTAACCCAAAGCTGCCTAAATCGACTCCCAACATAAACCTGGAAACCTTAACTGTGTCATCCAGCAAAACCTTAAAATATTCTCTAAACCTCAAACTTCCTTTGGGCGCAAAGTTAACTGAAGGAGCCCCAAGTTTCTGGTTTCTCTTCACAGAAGGTGAGATCCTTCCTGAGCTGTTTTACGTGGTATCCATTTAAAAATGGCAGTGTAAAAAAAGTTAAAGGATAAGTTCACCTTTTTACAAAAAATAATAAATGCGCATTTTTTTCTCGTAAAAAAAATGTGCATTTATTATTTTTTTCTATCTGGAGCCTCTAAAGTACCAGCAATCAGCAGATGGTGCCATGCAGGTCTCCTGCAGACTTGTCAGTATATCTGCTTGCCCATACAGGATGTACAGGCAAGCAGATATACTGACAGGAAGAATCAATGAACCACCACGGCGCAAAGGCTGTCGGGACAGCCATTCACTGTAAATGAATGAATGACGCGGACAGAGCCCCGCACAGCCGCACTTTTTTTAAACTGTGGGAGCTAGCGGGAGGAGACGATCCCTTTCCACCGTGCTAGCTGTCACAATGAGGAGCGGGGGCTGGTCCGTTGTGTTTGTAACATGTTACATGAATACCCTGAATATGGGTGTAACACGTTACGAATGGTGAACTTAAAATTTATGGGCCCATTCCTACTAGGGACTGCATGTGAATTGCACAGGAACACTGTGAGGTTCTGCAGTACTGTGCAGTGCGATTTCAGCCCGTTAATTTTTAATGGGCTGAAATCGCACCGCCCTGCACCAAAAGTACTGCATGCACTAATTTTGGAAACACACTGCAACCAGATTGCATGGTACTTTTTTTTCCATGCAATCTGATGTGGACAAACCCACTGTGTTTACAACTCTTTGTTTGGGGTGTTGGTTGCAAATACAGCAGTGATGCCCGCTGCAGATCACAAGGGCGGTGTGATAGGAATGTGGTGCAGGAAATCAGCACAGAATGTGGTTATCTTGCACTGCGATCTGGTGTGAAAGAGCCCTAAAAGTTAAATCTTGGTGAGTAGTACTAATTGTAATAAAAATACAAAATGCTGTATATCCCCTTCTTATGGAGGCTCAGTGGTGACAGGTCTTGATTTGCTTCCCATACCTCCTGTTTACTTTGCCATTAATTGAATTTAAAACCAGAGAGGAAGCCCTTGTTATGTGAACAGAGATGTGATGAGCTCTCACCAGCGGGGGTATGTGATATTGATATAAGAAACCAATGGTTAAAAGTAGAAACAACAAAGCCCAAGATGTCTTCCAATGCATACATAGAAACACCCATAAAAAGTGCACATAAGCAGTGCTATAAAGAAATAGTGCACACAAATACTAAACAAATAATCCTAAATGGTGATCTGTCCCTTTAAATCCTAAATACCATCACGTGGACCTGTGTGGTACACTTCTGGTGTATCGTGATCCAAGTACACCAACAAAAAGTGTCAACTGAATATAATCTCAATAGTGGTGGAATGTCCCTTTAAATCCGCCGTACTTCAAGTGGACCAGTGTAAACACTACTGCATAAACGTGTACGGTGCTCCTGTGTCACCCCGTAGTGCTCTTCCACCTCCAACACTATTGGAGTACGCCGATGACGTCAGGCCGTTAACTGGAAGTGCCCGTGCCGCCATTTTGGAAGAGGGATTTCTGCATACACTTGGCAGATAACACTGTGTAGTGAGTTTTTAACCCTGTAGTGTTCCAGGAGGGACATTTTAATGTGAGTTGAACTAGATTGTTTTTTTAATAAAGGCTGTTTTTAGTAGAAATACTACACTATATTGAGCATTTTTTTTCACATGGTTATGGAGCTATCTGGATCTGCCTAAAAGTGCTGGCAAACGGTGGTGAAGATCTGTGTACCATTATAACCTCCTGGGTTAAAGGGAAAAGTGCAGTTTGACCTGTTATTACGGGTCAAACTTGGAGGTGTGCGCAATAGAGAGTTGGAGGTGGAAGAGCACTAAGGGGTAACACAGGAGCACCGCACACGTTTATGCAGTAGTGTGTTTACACTGGTCCACTTGAAGTACACACACATACACGCTATATTGCCAAAGGTATTGGGCCAGCCCTCCAAATCATTGGACTCAGGTGTTCCAATCCCCTCCATGGACACAGGTGAATAAAATCAAGCCCCTAGGCATGCAGACTGCTTCTACAAACATTTGTGAAAGAATAGGTCGCTCTCAGGAGCTCAGTGACTCCAAGCGTGGGCCCGTGATAGGTTGTCACCTGTGCCAATAAGTCCATCCGTGACATTTCCTGGCTACTAAATCTTCCACGGCCAACTGTTAGTGGTATTATAACAAAGTGGAAGCAACTGGGAACAACAGCAACTCAGCCATGAAGTGGTACGCCACGTAAAATGACAGAGCGGGGTCAGCGCATGCTGAAGTGCACAGAAGTCGCCAACTGTCTGCAGAGTCAGTAGCTAAAGATCTCCAAACTTCATGTGGCCTTCAGATTAGCAAAACAGCAATGACCAATGTAAGGGTAGCTTAATTCTCTAACTGCTTGCATCCTTTCAGGCTCTTATCACTTTATACCAGGTAAAATGCATGCGATCGCATTGGTTTTGATTCCATCTGTGAGGACCTGTCAATAACAAGCCCTCTTCTCCCTTCCCAGGTCAGGAGTGGTTACTTGCTGGGCAGAAAACCTATGGGGAAATTCTGAGTCTGTCCAAACCAAGCCAGATTGAGCTTGTCATCCCGCAGGAGTTCCGGTCCCCTGAGGCAGAGCTGAAAGTCGGGGTCTGCGTGTATTTCTGCACCAAAGACAGCAACGTGTGTACAATGAAGTCTGTCTCCTTTACTCATCCTTTACAAGTGAGCGTTGAGGACACTGGCTACCCACCAGCTCTGGACCTCACCTACAGCTTTTAAGAGTGGAAAACAACTTGCTGTGGGCCAAAGTTGGCCTTTGATATGTCTGTTCTTGTCACACCTGGTAAGAAGGTAAAGAGAGACCAGAACAGTCTAGTTTACAGAAGTGCAGTTTTCATGTAGCTTCCACTGTATCAAAACTGCATGGAGACAAGTTCTTGATATCCATTTTGGGGAGGCCAAAGTCCTGATGGCTGTCCAGCTATCCTTTATAGAGAACTTGAGAAATTAATAATTGGATTGCACGTGTGTTTAAAGTGAACCTTTGGTCATGATATGGTCATTTAAACATTTCCATGTTCTTAGCAAGTATTACATTTGCTTGAATGTAAATCCTCAATTACTGTAGCCATGGGCACTGTGGAGCACTTCATTCTCAGTTCAGAAGCACTTAAGTCACTCAACTCATTCTCCCAGCATTGACTCACCAGACCAGCTCCCCCTTCCCAACAGTGATTCAGCAACCCAGCTTAACCATGCTTCCCTCTCCCACTAACAATTCAGTAGTTCACCTCCTGTGTCCAAGCACTTCCCTTTCCTGGCATTGATTCAGCAGCTCAACTCCCCCTACTCTCCCCTCCAATCACTGACTCTGCAACTCAGCTTACCCCTCTTAGCAGTGGCTCACTAGCCCAGCTTCCCTTCCCAACCGTGATTCAGCAACCCAACTCACCATGCTTCCCCCTCCCAGCAGCAACTCAGTAGCTCACTTGTCTCCAAGCACTTCCCTCTCGTGGTAGTGATTCAGTACCTCTGCTCCCCCATTCCAGCAGCAACTCAGCAGCTCAACTCGTCGTGCTCTCCCCTTCCATCACTGACTCCGTAGCTCAGCAGATCAACTCCCCCATTCCAGCAGTGACTCTGCAACCCCCTAGTGTTCTATTCTTCTATGTAAACACAGAACAGGAGCTCTGGAGGTGGGGTAAGCAGCTGAGAGAAGCACTCAATTGCATTTGGTGTAAGCTTTGAGGATGAACTTCTCCTCAATATCTGCAGCTGTTCTTAAAGACTATGTAAATACTTGAATGCCCATAGCCAGACCGGTTCACTTTAAGCATCAATAATGTTCACATCAAATGAAAAGCATGCATCAGATAGGACAAGGGAATTTTCCGCTGTGTGTTGCATCGGCTGCCTTTTCCCCATTGAAGATAAAACACAGCACTTAAAGCTTCATTACCTTAGTGCCTTAAAATAGACCCCCTGGTCAGACACCCTGGAGGCAGCCATGCTGGGGGCCAAACCAGTGTTTCAGAAAAGATGAAAAGTTTAGATGTTATGAGCAACACAGATTGCCTATTCAACAGTTAATTGAGGTATTGTGTGCCTCATGCCTTAAAAGCAAACCTTTCACTTAAAGTGGAGTTCCACCCAAAAGGGGAAGTTCCGCTTTAAAGATTGGTCCCCCGCTCCCCATTAAGGATTGGCACCTTTGGGGAGAGGGGGAGGAGGACAGGTACCCGAATTTGACAGATACCCGCTCCCACTTCTGCTGCGATCGCCTAGGCAATCGGAAATGGAAGTTGTCCTCCTACCCTCCCTCCCCGAAGTCTTGTGGGACACGTGACAGGTCCCAGAAGACGACGGGGCCATTCATGAAGCGCAGCGCTACTCGCGCATGCGCAGTGGGCACCCAGCTGTGAAGCCACAAGCTGTCACAGCCGGGTGCCCACACTGAAGATGCCGGCCTCCTGGAATACAGGACGCCCGGTGAAACGGGCTGCGGCGGGGGCAATGCGGGATCGTGGGACAGGTGAGTGGCTGTTTTTTAAAAGTCAGCAGCTACAGTTTTTGTAGCTGCTGACTTATTTTTTTTGTTACAAAGTGAGTGGAACTCCGCTTTAAGAATTCACTATAAACTACCATACCTGTTTAATAACTACAACAAGTAACTGGACATCCAAGTTGCTTTCCAGAATTGCATTCTGGTGGACCAGAGAAGCTCTCAAGATCTGGGAATAACTAGAGAGCATATATTGACTCCCACAATATGTCTGCCTCCCAACGGATTGCTGAAAAACTGGTTTAGTACCCTACATGTCTCTTTCTGTGGTGTGCCAGTGACCACTGCACTTCACTGTTTTATAGTACCAAAGTGTAGCTGCAATAATGCTCTGATCATTTTGAATAAGACGTTTGGAAAATACACAGTGACTTGTTCCATTATGTCTTGTGAGAAGAGACTTATTTAAAACTTGTTTTTGTTGTTTGCAATTATTAAATATATTTAAGTTTGAATGATTTGGGATGTTGGATTGAGGTAATAAAATCAGCTGCACATACGCATCCATGGCTTGCTGAAAGTACGCTCACTGCGCACTCCCAGCACAAGAGTCTGAGCTGTCATACACAGCACTCGGTGTCTGTACTAATGATTGGGGTCCGGCACCCGATCATGTGACCATTGTGACAGTCATTGACAGTGGTCACATGATTGAGAGAGTTGCACCTTACATTTTATGGGATTTTTAAGACAACCTTGGAGTATATACAAAGAAACCAATTTGTCTAAAAGATCAACATATTATTTGAACAAATTTCTTTTGTCTGACAAATTAACACATATCAAGTTTACTCTAATATAAGGGGCCAAGCACTACTAGAGGGTCAATCAAAGGTTGTCTAGCACTTGATCCCCATTAAGCTGACCATAGATAGATCAAATCTTGGACAGTTCCTGCTGAACTGGCTGAGATTTGATCCATCTATGGGTAGGCAGGTTTTCCTGAAGTTGATCCATGGATCAACTTCAGTACAACCACCCTGTCGTTTTTTATTGCTCTTTCGATCATTGGTGGTGGTTATAGCCTCCAGCAGTGATCATTGTGTTCTGATGGCAGGGAGGGCTCCCTGCTGGTAGAACACAATAGCTCTGAAGGAATTAAAAAAAACACTCAAATCCCTCCCTCAATCACTGGTTGAAGGAAAGAAGATTGCATCATCTATGGCCTGCCATAGTCACGCAAACTGCTGTAGTTGGCCGTGTCCCACTGCTGTGGGCCCATCTCCCTCTTTGTTTTTATCCAAGCTTTAGAGATTCATTTGAGAAGAACCACCACCAATCTGCATCTGTAGAAAGCAAAGCTTCAAGTCCAGTTTTTCTATTTTATTTCAGGTCCCATGTACCTTACAGAGACCTAAGGCACATTTGCACACATAGCAGATATTTCAAGCTGGCAACGCAAAAAATGTGAAATTCCTCTTTAATATTAGCACATATCAACACTAGAACTTCATCAACACATATGTCTAAATATAAAAACATCTGCAAGGGCCTGTCTGGTATGGTATATGTAGTGACTACCCCTCCGACACATTAATAAATCACCACTATACCATGGGGCAGGGGCGGACTGACCATTTGGAAACTCGGGAACTGCCCGAGGGCCCAGGGTCAGTAGGGGGCCCCATGAGATGCCCCTGGTACCTTTTTCATAGGCTTTTTTGAGTTTGGGCAAGGACATGGGCCCCATGATCCCCTTTTGCCCGGGGGCCCCATGAGTTGTCAGTCCGCCCCTGCCATGGGGTATACCTTTCACAGAAATAGCTTGAACTCCTAGTAAAGGCTCACTTCACTGTTCATTTTAACATCCAGTGGATGACTTCAAACTGATGAATAATTGTGTCTAACAGTACATGTAGTCGTGACTCAGGAATGCCTCTATGTTAAGTATTCAGTTATCAATAGGAATTCCCCTGGGAATCACTTCTGTGAGATGTCAGAATAGCATTTTGTATGTTAAAGGAGAGGAAAAGGCTAAAAAAAAAATCAAAGTTTAAACCTTTGCCTTCCCACTGCTCTTACTCAAGCCTTATAGAGTTGTAGAAATCCCTCAGTAAATACCTTTTTTCTTTTTTTTCAAACAGTCAAATAATCGCAAGGCTTCTACTTTAATCATCAAAAACGCACTCTAAATACTTCAAAAGTTGAAGATAACTAGAGTTCCACCAATATGGCCACAGGCCTCTTAATACACCACTGGACTGGCCTATGAAGTTCTAGAGTCCATGGAGAATAAAATGGTGGCCGTTGCAATTTATGTCATGCAGTATTTGCACAGCCATTTATCAAGCACAAACTTTCAGGACAAAATACACTAAAATGAATTTTAATGCACACAAGCACAATAGAATACCCAATTTTGTGGTAAAATAATAAGGAAGGATGTTAAGAGTCAAATTGCATGTACCCATGAAATGGGCACAAACTCTGATACCTACATTTTTGCATAGGTGACACTTTAAAAGCCTTAACAAATTATCAGTGTAGAGTTGGGGAATTATGGCCCTGGAATTATTGCTTTCACTTTTTGTAGCAATAACTCACGTGTGGTGCAGGACCTACATGCATATGTGTTTGGAAAGGCGGGGCTGCTTTTAACATTTATTTTTAGTAATTTTTTTTTTTAGTGATTTTTTTATTTTTTGTTAGTGATTTTTTTTTTCATGCTATTACAAGGGGGCTAAAAACCTCCCTGTGTGAAAGCACTGCCAAGTGACAGGTATTCTTTATGGAAACATCAGGAGTCTACCAGACCCCCAATGTCTCCCCTGCCCTCCAATGCAGCTAATCAAGCCCAGATCCTACTTGATAAGCTGCTGCTTTGGCTGCAGCAGCTGAAGAATGACAGCTCTGAAAGTGGGAGAGCCAAGAAACCAAAACAGCTGCAGGCAGTGGAGGTGAGGTGGGACGGAGGAGGTGTCCCTTCTTACTACAGTAAGAATCTTCTCCCCTCACCCATCACCATTTTTAAAAAACCCGGCCGCGTCATTCATTCACAGTTCTGTCAGTTCTGTGAATGGGAGAACTACAACTACCATCAGTCTTTGATGCCGATGGTTTGTAGCTCTCATTGAACTACCAGGGCACTGGTACTCTAGGTAGTTAATTGATTCTTCCTGTCATTCATTAACGGCCTGCCTGTACGATTCATGGGCAGACAGCTACACTGACAGTCTGCAAGAGCCTAAGATTGCACCCGCAATCAGCAGATTGTGGGTGCATTGCTTTACAGACTCCTAATAAAAAAAAATGCACATTTTTTTTTTATCTGCAAAAATATGTGCTTTTTATTTTTTTATTTTTTTTTTTAAAGGTGAACTTATCCTTTAAGCTGGCCATACATGGAAATTCAGCAGATTCAACAGGGACCAGCTAAATTTCCATGAACATGTGGCCACTGGGTTAATCAGTTGATCTACCAATCGACTTCTGTTCAGCCATTTTGTTTGTATATCTTTGCTCATTCAGTGCCGCAAGTATTAGGCTGCAGTACTGATCTGTGTATTCTGACAGTGGGGAAGTCTCCCTACTGTCAAAATACAAAGAAAAAGTGGGAAGGATTCCCCCATCCACATCAAATGTGTAGATGGGGGAATTGGGTCTTTTTTTTTTTTTCTTCATTCAGCCTGCTTCCCAAACAAAAAAACTGACCCTTGTATGGCCAGCTAAAGCTACATATGGGCCATCAATCGACCAAAAATGGTCAGTTCAGCAGGAACCAGCCGACTTACGGCCCATGTGTACAGCTTCCTGTCCAACAGAAGCCGGTCTCGCGATTGGTTTCTGTCAAACAGGCAGGCTGGAAAACCAGCATCTGACCAGTATCCAATCAGTGCTGGCAGTCAAAAACATCTGGTGTGTACCCTGCATCAGTGTCCATCATAAGTGGGGGTTAGTTGATGGCAGGGACGGACTGACAACTCATGGGGCCCCCGGGCAATAGGGGATCATGGGGCCCCTGTGTCCTTGCCCAAACTCAAAAAAGCCTATGAAAAAGGTACCAGGGGCATCTCATGGTGCCCCCTACTGACCCCGGGCCCTCAGGCTGTGCCCAAGTTTCCAAATGGTCAGTCCGCCCTTGGTTGATACACACCTGTGCAAGACTAAAGAGAATGTTTGAGTTCAACTTTTACTACTTTTCATTTAGTAAATCATCCAAATAATCCAAACATGTCTTTTGACCAGGGGGCCTGGGCTTTTTAGATACGACTGTTTATTTGGTGAATAGATTTGAGTGCACTGACATACATTTTTTAGGAAACCTGTAAGTACAGCTAATGTTTGTTATATAATACAGATTTTACATCATGAATAAAACATACACTTTCACCAACATAACTCTGAAAACATCTTCTGTGTGGAGGAATATAAAACCCTTTTCATGAATGAAGATATGTAATCATTAACACTTGCCTTATTACTAAACCTGTTAGAATTTACCACTCACAAAACAACCCAAAGTAAACTGATTAAGGATAAAACTTGCCCAGGAGGCACAAATTCACTGTACCTCCATAAGTGAATACTGTAGACTTGATCAGCACCACAAAATTAGACCCTGGACACATACTGTATGTGTTACAATATTTTACTACAATGCAATTTTAATATACTTTCCTACAATACAATTTTAATATACCTTGATTCTTATTTATCATGATGTACTGGTAAAATGTTTTACTTAAAAAAGAAAAACTTGAAGATTGCCACCTTCACACAAAAAAGATTTGCAGCCCCCCCTGGTCACCATGTCACCACATAAAGCACAACCTTTTTTACCATAGAGGTACCCTTGAAGCTATGTTCAGGTGTCATGGAACACCTGCTAAAAATTATTATATATACAGCTCAAAACACAGCAGCAACACTACACTGGTGGTCAATCAAAAAAGGGCCTATTTACATTGATATTCAGTGGGAAACTTCCCCTGGTTAGTAGGACAAATGCCCATTGCAACAGTGGTCAGTGTATTGCCTCCAAACATTGGGGGACAGTGGGAGGGAATGTTCCTTGTACAGATTGCTAACATGATCATTGGTGCTAACAAACCAGAGGAGACGGTCCACTAGTTCTGTGCCATTGGTTCTTTGAAATGTTGGGGTCAAAATAAGGTATACATTGCCAGGCAGGAGGTCAAATCCATTACTGCTCAAGGAATCCCTAGCCACCTTTGGAAGACCATTGATTGAGAATGGCTGACATAAAATGTGTAAATGTGCAGTCTGACCATATGCATTACAATCTCTTTGGTGTAATGAACAGTTTTTGGCTTATTCAGGTACTGTTTCATATACGCTTTGGCTGAAAGTTTGCAGACACCTGACCATTACACCTACATACACATAGTGGACATCCCATTCCAAATCCATGGCCATTATTATGGAGTGGAGCCCATATAATGTTCTCAAATCTTCTGAGGAGGATTTCCACAGCATTTTAGATTGTTTTGGGGAATTTGTGCTCATTTGAGAGGTCAGGTACTGATAATATTATTATTATTATACAGTATTTATAAAGCGCCAATAGTTCACTCAGCGCTGTACATTACAAAGGGGGACAGAACATGTGACAGAACAATACCAATACAATGCAAAAACATGAGGGGATTGAGGGCCCTGCTCTTTCGAGCTTACAATCTAGGAGGGAGGGGATAGTGGTACAGGAGGAGATAGCTGTGGGGGATAGAGTGGTAGGAAGAGTGGAGGAGGTCAGCAAGTTAGCAGGGGGTGGGGTAGGCTTCCCTGAAGAGATGGGTTTTCAGGGTGCGCCTAAAGGAGAGGAGAGTAGGTGATAATCTGAAGGGTTGGGGCAGGGAGTTCCAGAGCATGGGTGACACCCTGGAGAAGTCCTGGAGGCAGGCATGGGAGGAGGAGACCAGGGAACTAGAGAGAAGGAGGTCTTGTGAGGAGTGGAGTGTGCGTGCTGGGCGGTACTTGGATATTAGGTCAGTGATGTAGTTCGGAGCAGTATGGTGGACAGCTTTGTACGTCAGTGTTAGGATTTTGAATTTGATTCGTTGCGCAATCGGAAGCCAGTGGAGGGATTGGCAGAGGGGGGTGGTGGAAACGGAGCGGTTGGAAAGGTGAATGAGTCTGGCAGCCATATTCAGGATCGACTGAAGCAGGGATAGCCAGCGGCGAGGCAGGCCAGTGAGGAGGGAGTTGCAGTAGTCGAGTCGTGATATGATGAGGGAGTGGATGAGCTGTTTAGTGGTTTCTGGGGTTAGGAACGTGCGTATTTTGGCGATGTTGTGGAGGTGGAGTCTGCATGAGTTAGTTAAAGATTGGACTTGGGGCTGGAAGGATAGGTTGGAGTCCAGCATGACACCAAGTACTCTGGCCTGCGGGGCGGGTTTGATGGTGGCGTTGTTGGATGTGATGGAGAAGTCAATGTGGGGAGGTGTCCGGGCTGGGGGAAGACAAGAAACTCGGTTTTGGAGAGGTTCAGTTTAAGGAAATGGAGCGACATCCAGTCTGATATGTCGCTCAGTAGATGTTGGAGAAGACCTGGTTCATCGGTGCTCTAATTCATCGTAAAGGTGTACAGTGGGGTTGAGGTGAGGGCTCTCTGCAGGCCACTCAAGTTCTTCCAGACCATACTGGTCAAACCATGTCTTTATGGAGCTGGGTTCATGCACCTGAACTCGGTAATTTGGAGCAACACCTGCATACCTTAGGTCTTATAATGTGTAACCTCGTCCAGTGTTTATGATTAAATTGGAGATAGCCCCAGAGTTCTGTAGTTTAACTTGAACATAGACTTCTGGGGCCTGCTCAACACCAAGACCAAAAGTTTTTGAAAAAACAATACTTTTGCTGATTCTCAGAATTTTCACCTCAAACATTTTTCAGGCCTTCTAGACTATGACCATCCAATGTTCTGACATCTTCACCAATTTCGTCTTATTATGAAAGATAAAGCAAATAAATGCACACCCTCACTGTGTAAATTATATGGGTGGTGTTTGGTAAAGTGATGGTAACAAGATAACATTCTCCAAAACCCCAGGGTGTAACTGAGGTTCACTGTTTTTTATTGGTATTGCTGACATCAAATGTCTCAACCAGTTGCTGGCTTGTATTTAAGATGATAAGGCACACATCCTTATAGGTATGCCAAAGTCATCATTGATTTAATTGCCCATATTTAATCTTGTAATATTGCCCATTAAATTACTTGGTCCATGTCCAAATATGCGTAATGACATTGTTGAAGACACACCATCTTAATAAATATATAAAAGTGTTGATCAGTTAATTCGCCTAAAAGCGTGAAAGTATCAAAGTGGACCAGTGTGGAGACAAGGAGATCCTTTACCATTTACTTTAGTGCTCGGCAGTCTTTGGTCCTGCAATAGAAATTGCAGGACCATATTTGGCAGATTGCTGGAAGAGATAATTCCGATGTATTCCCTAACACCGGTGTGGGGAATTTAGGACAGGAGTAGATCTTTGTCCCCGTACATGAATTCTCTGCTTTCATTGTCATAAAGTGCTTTATCCTTCTTGGGACAGTTGACTCTAGATGAAAATAGCAAGTCTTTCTTCCCCTATCAGATAAATCACTCAATGGCAGGAATATATGTGTAAAAGCAAAATACACAATCTAGTGCTCTCTATATGAACCATAATTTATTAAAAAGCCTAAATCGCACTTACAGTGTTGGGCACTGAAACCAGTGCTAGTAGGGATCGCACATCACAAACACCGGCAACAGGCCCGGAAGGCAAGATGGTCACAGGATGATGTCACAGCTCAGGCTCCTCCCCGCATAGGCGTTACATCCAGGACTTCATTAAATTGCACTTACAGTGTTGGGCACTGAAACCAGTGCTAGCAGGGATCGCACACCACAAACACCGGCAACACGCCTGCAAGGCAAGATGGGCACAGAATGATGTCACGCCTCAGGCTCTTCCCCGCATAGGCGTTACATCCAGGACTTCATTAAATCGCACTTACAGAGTTGGGCACTGAAACCAGTGCTAGCAGGGATCGCACATCACAAACACTGGCAACACGCCTGGAAGGCAAGATGGGCACTGAAACCAGTGCTAGCAGGGATCGCACATCACATACACTGGCAACACGCCCGGAAGGCAAGATGGCCACATGATGATGTCACACCTCAGGCTCTTCCCCGCATAGGTGTTACATCCAGGACTTCATTAAATCGCACTTACAGTGTTGGGCACTGAAACCAGTGCTAGCAGAGACCGCACATCACATACACTGGCAACACGCCCGGAAGGCAAGATGGCCACATGATGATGTCACAGCTCAGGCTCCTCCCTGTATAGGCGTTACATCCAGGACTTCATTAAATCGCACTTACAGTGTTGGGCACTGAAACCAGTGCTAGCAGGGATCGCACATCACAAACACTGGCAACACGCCCTGAAGGCAAGATGGCCACATGATGATGTCACACCTCAGGCTCCTCCCTGCATAGGTGTTTCATCAGTGGGAGTTACTGACTGGTAATGCAGGCGTCAGGAATTTAAGGTGAACGGCCTTCTGATATTTGGTGGTGGAAGCACGAAGAGCACTGGAATTTATGTTATATGAACGTCACTTTAGTTGTACTTGGTGTGGCTATATATTGGACTTTATTATTTATCCGAGTTGTGCTACACTATTTTGTTTTTAGATTTCTGGAAAGTGGTTTACAGTGTACAGCTTGCAAAGTGTCCTATTTTCTGCTATTTTTTTTTTTTGCAGTTTGTATTCATTTTTCCATTATACAATTTTTTGGTTTAGTTGCACTAATTGATTTAATAATAATATGACATTGGAACAAGACTGGAGGGGAAATCTTCCAGTGGGGGACAGTAATTCAGGTGACCCTGGTGACACTCTGGGATTCCCTCACTTTGCTTTCAAGAGATTTTCTCTCAC